AATGAAAGGAGCTGGAGTATTTTTCTGCCATCTAGCCAGCCAATAGTTGATAGATGATCCTAGAGTGAGTTCGTAATTCCCTCTCATTTCTGGATTGCTCTGTATAGGGCTATTTCACATACAATCATCCATGCTTTAAGGATAACTGCCAGTTGCAGGCTGGTGTGCATGAAAATGGTAAATGCCAAGAGGATCCAAGGAAAATCAGTTCAGATATGAATAGATTGTGCAAGAGAGGAAAATGTTTCTTAAAGCAATGAGTGGACTTCTGTAGGTAAATATTACTGAGAAGTTCAGTAAGATAAGTGCAGAAGTGTCCATTATGTTGAACATGATGATTGTCACTGGTAACCATGAGAGGAGCAGTTTCCCAGTGGTAGGGAAAAAAGAAACAAAAGTGAAGTTGGTGAAATGTGAATGAGAAAAGTTGAAGTAGCACCTGGAGACAAAACTCTTTAAGTTTAGTGTGAGGAAGGGTGGAAAAATAGAGAGGTTCTTGGATGATAATATGGAGCCAAGTGAGCATTTTTCAGGGATGTTTTGAAGCATGGGAAATAACAGCATGTTTGAAGACACTTAAGAAGAAACCAGTAGAAAGGGAGAGATTAATGTAGAATAGGGAAATGTGACAAGAAAGGTCATAGTCCTTTGTAGTTGGTAAGGATCAAAATCACATTTGGCAGATTGAGACAGAGAAGGCACACATACAGAGGCATACTGGTATGAATGTTGACCATGGTAAAAAGAAAAAAGTTCTGTTTTAATTTTTAATTTTTAAATTTTTGTTTATTCATTTTTTTAGATTCCACATATGAGTGAACCTATATAGTACTTGTGTTTCTCAGTCTGACTTATTTCACTTAGCAAAATACCCTCTCAGTCTATCTATGTTGTTGTAAATGGCACAATCTCATCCTTTTTAATGGCTGCATAATATTTCATTGTATATATATACCACATCTTCCTCATCCATTCGTCTATTGATGGATACTTGGGTTGCTTCCATATCTTGGCTATTGTGAAAAATGTTACAATAAACATAGGGGTGCATATATCTTTTCATATTAGTGTTTTCATTTTCTTTGGGTAAATACCCAGTAGTAGAATTATTAACTTATATGGTATTTCTATTTTTAATTTTTTGAACAACCTCCATACTATTTTCCACGGTTTCTGCACCAATTTGCATTCCTACCAACAGTGCGCAAGGGTTCCTTTTTCTCCACATCCTCACCAACACTTGTTATTTCTTGTCTTTTTTATTTTAGCCATTCTGATGTGTAAGGTGATATCTTTTTTTAAGATTATTTGATATATATATATAGAGAGAGAGAGAGAGAATGTGTGAGAGAGAGAGAGAGCATGAGTGGAGGGTGGGGGCAGAGGGAGAGGGAGAAGCAGACTCCCCACTGAGCAGGGAGCCTGATGTGGGGCTCAATCCCAGGACCTTGGGATCATGACCTGAGCTGAAGGCAGATGCTTAACTGAATGAGCCACCCAGGTGCCCCTGTAAGGTGATATCTAATTGTGGTTTTGATTTGCATTTCCCTGATGATTGGTGATGTTGAGCATCTTTTCATGTGACTCTTTGAATTTTTAAAATCTTGAAGTGTGGGATAAAGTCATTAAGCTGGGAGGGAGAGGCACATAGAAAAGTAGAGCAGGAGAATTAAAGAAAGATCAGTACAAAATAGCTGTCTAGGAAGGAGGGAAGATGAGCTAAAAAAAATACAGTAGGATTTATGAGCAATGTGATAATTCATTTGTGGGATGTAGACATGAATGTAAAATGAAACTAGCCTGCTCCCTTGTATGATCATTTATCAAGCAAGCAAACATGACCATCTTTCTCATCAAATTGCCTGCAAAGTGCAAAGATTAGTGTATTATAGGCAGAGGAAGCAGCTAGAGCAAATGTTCTATATTGGAGGAAGCCTGGTATATATGAGAAAGGGGAAATAATTCTCGAAACAATCTTTTCTGGATTTAATTTGATAATGTATAAAAAGCACCTTTCATGGATTGACATATATAAAGCTCTCCATAATTTGTCTCTATTGCCTCCTCTGGGCTAAGTTTATTCCACTTTTCCAATGATTCATTCTCTTACTACTTACTGGCTCAAGTTTACTTTGCTTATGTTAGAATTTTCTGTAAGTTTCAAATGTAGACATTCCACTTCTTTCATCCAAGACAAACTTTGACATCATTTCTTCATTTCTTGCTTCTACAAGATTATTTCTCAATTTTTCTTTTCCTTCAGGGTACCTATTCTAGAAAGCTCCTCATTCAACAAAGTTTGAGCCCCTAACTATAGTACAGACTTCATTCTAGGCCCTTAAGGTACATTTGTGAACTAATCAGACAAAGTCACATGAAGCTTACTTTCTACCAGGGCAAGAAAGACAATGAAAAACAAGTAAATTATCTTATATGTGAGAAGGTGATAAATGGTTTACAGAAATAAGAAAGAATCTGTTTGGAGTGTTATGGGGGCAGATTGCAGTTTCTTTCTTCCCCTTTTTTTTTTTTTAATTAAAGATGTATTTATTTGAGAGAGAGAGAGCACAGGCAGGAGGGGCAGAGGGAGAGGGAGAATCTCAAACAGACTCTGCTGAGCGTGGAGGCCAAGGCAGGGCTTGATCTCTCGACCCTGAGATCACGACCTGAGCTAAAACGAAGAGTCAGACACTTAACTGACTGTACCACCCAGGCACCCCCAGGCTGCAGTTTCTTAAACAGCCATTAGCATAGGGCTTAAAAGAATGTGACAAGTAAACAATGACTTGTAGGAAGTAAAGGAATTAGCCACAACAGTACCTGGGGCAAGAGCATTCTAAGCAGAGGAAACAGACAGAACTCTGGGTTGAGCAAGCCAGGCATGTTTGAGGAAGAGCATTGAAACCATTGTGACTCTAGTGAAATGAGCAAGGACTAGAATGGCAGAAGATGACATGAGAGAGGTCATAAGGGACAGATCATGGAGAGCAGGTGGGCTGCTGTTAGGACCCTGGCTATTGTTCTGAGTGAAGAGGGGGCCATTGCAGAGTTTTGGGCAGAAGAGGTACATAATCTGACTTCCAATGGGAGTGCTGTCTGCTATCTTGATGGCAGATTGCAGGAGGCAAGTGTAAAAGGACAGATACCCGTGAGGAAGCTACAGAAGTAGGAGGTGAGAGGTGGTAGTGATTTGAATCAGAGTGGTAGCGGTGGAGGTGGTGACATTGGTTGGCTCTGGACATAACTTGCAAGTAGACTCTTTGATAGATACGGATGTCACAGCTAAAAATATCAAAGAAAATTCCAAGAATATGGCTTAAGCAATGAAATGATGGCAATTGGGAATAATCTATAATTGAATGTATTTTTGTTTAGAATGACAGCAGTCATTTTTTTCAAAGCTCCTCAGTCTGGAATTATGTTGTTAAAACTTGTGACCTCCATCACCAATATCTCAAAATCATAAAACTAAAGAATATGAATAACAACTGTATTATTTCAGACACATAAGCCATTTGCCAAAACATTTTCCCATGTAGAAATTCTCTCTAAAACATACCAGATGCAGAATCAAAAAGCATCAACTTAAATATAGCTATTGCCATTGATGGACAGCTTAGCTTGGTAAAAACCACCAGATGCTGTCTCACTTGAAAATACAGAAATAAACTCAAATACATTAAATAGTTAAATTTCAAAACAGAACCTATAAGGGAAAATCTATAAATCAACAGGAATAAAAACTACCCCCTAAAATAAAAGGGAAAAATAGGCATAGCCATACAATTTTTAGAAAAATTAAAATATACAATAAATATATATCTGAAGTTTGACTTCTTCATACTGAGTGAAATAGAAATAATTATATCTTTAAATATTATCCTTCATGTAAAACTTTTGATTTATGTCTAAGAACGTTTATATAGAACATAACTCGTATATATAACATAAATATACTTATTAGCAAAACTAATGACATAAATGTTCATTTATCAAATTGGATAAATAATTTGCAGAGCATCCATTCATTGATATTTTATGCAATTATTGAAAATTCCGTTGTTGGAAAATATTTAATATATGGGAAACTACTAATAATGTAATAGAAATTTAAAAGTAGGCTACACATTTATTTACATGGTACCCAAGAATCTGAGGAAGAGCAACAGAACAAAACTTTGTTTATTTCTTTATTATTTCAAAACTTTTCAAAATGTCAGCAAATAGTTCATAATCAGAAATTCACCCACTCTCTATAAGTTCTATGCATCTGTTAATAATAATAACATAAGTTGCTATATTGATAAGAAATCTCTAAGACATACTGGTAGTGCCTTGCAGAAGAATCCACATGGTTCATTTACAATGTATTTTTTAAAATCTAAGATATATATATATATGCGTTAGGATATACAAGTAATTGATAAGATTGGTAAACATATATATGCTTATATATATGTACACACACATATATATATATATATATATGCTAGGATATACAAGTAATTGGTAAGATTGACTGATTGAGAGAGATTCTGCAAGAAAGATTGAAGAAATATTATTCTAGGGTAAGAGAGTACTTTTCCTTAAACTCATATATACCTATCAAGCGCTTGATACTTTGTATCAATTGCAAGTACTATTTTTCAATGAAAAGTAGATAAAGCAGGAATAACCTCATTCATATTGATCTAATACCAGAGGCTTACTATTTCACTGGTTAACACTGGTTAGAGAGACAGCCAGAAAAGGCTGCTCAGAAGATTGAGGAAATTCTTGCCTTTGGAGGAATGTCTCAGAAGATACCCCAGCATGATTGTTGCCTCCAACAGGGTCTTAGAGAGTAGGGACATGGAGCTGCCATAATGAGAGCGTTTCTGTGGCTTTTTATTGGCCCAAGTCCTTTCCTGCAGACCCTCTTTTCCTGTCAAGACACCTGAAATCTCAAGGTCAATAACTCATCCTAGTTCCATCATCCCTACATTTTAGGGTTCCATTACCTTTGGTCACCAGATTTAGGAACCCACATATAATGAAGGTCAGCATCAGGAGATTCATGGCTTCTGGAAGAGAGGAAGCTCTGTGTCCTGAGGAATCCAGAGCACTTGGCCCAGCTAGGAGTATAAATAGTCACCTTTACTTGCCTATCACGGGTGATAAACCAGAGATGGGGAGAATGCCATGCCATCCGGATCACCAGACCATTAACTTGCATCATTGAGTGTGCATGACAAAATAATGCTCTGTTCTAGAAACTATTAAAGGAAACTGAGGCCTTGTGAAATGAATTATAATCCTGAGGAAGTGTATGGTCTGATGGGAAGAAACAATTCCCAAAAGAAATTGTTCTCCTTAACCCTACGTAGGGCCAATTACTTCTCTCTTTGTATGCAACACCATAAATATACATCAATGATAGCAGAATGCTACATAAAGATCCCACTTATTTCAGACCAATAGCTTTTGACTTCTAGTAGAGTATTCTTCTCTCCATCTGAATGATTACCAAATCCATTTTGTATTAATTTTTGTATAAAATCCATTTTGTATTAATTTTTGTATAAGTTACAAAGTTTAGTTTGAGATGGACTTTTTTTCACTGTGGATATTCGATTTTTGCAGTAACAATTTATTGTAAGTACTATCCTTCCTCCATTGAATTGCTTTGGCACATCTGTCAAAAATTAGTTGGCCATACTTGATTCTGTATTATGTTCCATTGATTATGTGTCTATTCCTCTGCCAGAACAACACACTCTTGATTACTATAGCTGTATAATATGTCTTGAGATAGTGCAGTGATTCTTCTTGCTTTATTCTTCTTTTAAAAAAATTTTTTACTGGGGTGCCTGGGTGCCTCAGTCGTTAAGCATCTGCCTTCGGTTCAGGTCATGATCACAGGGTCCTGGGATTGAGCCCCACATCGGGCTCCCTGCTTGCCGGGAAGCCTGTTTCTCCCTCTCCCACTTCCCCTGCTTGTGTTCTTGCTCTTGCTGTCTTTATATATAAATAAATAAATAAAATCTTAAAAAAAATTTTTTTTCTACCTATACCAGTTCCTTCGCCTTTCATTAAAAATTGTAGAATAGTCTATGTATATCTACAAAAATTTTGCTTGAGATTATGATAGTGATTGAGTTAAACCTGTGTATTAGCCTGGCATAAATTACTTTGTTATGTTGAGTCTTCTAATTCATCCATGTGTGCCTATGCCACTTCGCTTAAGTGTTTATTTCTTTCATCACCGTTTTGTACTTTTTAGAATACAAGACTTAAAATATTTCTCAATTTATATCTAAGTATTTTATGAGTAATTTTAATAAATTTATACTTTTAATTTCAATATTCACATATCTTTAGTATACAGTAATACAATTCATGTTTATGTATTGATTTTGTATCCTGAACCTTGCTCAACTCAGTTATTAGTTCTAGGAGGTTTTTTATAGATTCCTTGATCTTTTCTCTGTAGACTATCATGTCAGCTGTAAATGGGGACAATTTTCTTTCTCCCTTTCCACACTCTGTATTTATTTCCTTTTCTTGTCTTATCATGTTGAGTAGAATTTTCAGAATACATTAAATAAGAAGGGTGAGAGTGGATATCCTTGCACTTCTGTGATCTTAGAGGTATTCATTCTTTTACCATTAAGTGTAACATTAGCTGTAGGTATTTTGTAAATTTTTTTTATCAAGTTGAGAAAGTTTGCCTACATTCTTAATTTTCTGAGAGTTTTTAATCATGAATGCATTTGAAACTTATCCAAATGCTATTTATACATCTACTGATTGGATCATATGATTTTTCTCTGTTGTTAGCCTGTTAATTTGCTAGGTGACATTGATGATTTTCAAATATTTAACCACCTTTCATTCGGCAATAAATCCCACCTGGTCATGACTTTAATTCTTTTTATATATTGCCCAACTCCATCTGCCAATACTTTTTTAATTGAAATAATTGTAGATTCACATGTACTTGTAGGAAATAATTTAGAGCAATCCTGTGTACCCTTTATTTTGTGTCCCTTAATAGTCACATCTTGCAAACTTATAGTGCAATATCAACAACCAGGATGTTGACATGGATACATTCCACCAGTCTTACTCTGATTCCCCAGTTTTACTGGTAATTATTTGTGTGTGCATGTGTGTGTTGTGATAGTGTGTGTGTATGCAGTTCTGTACACTTGTATCACATGTAGGTTTGCATATCTACCACTCAAGATATACAGTTCCATCATCACAAGGGTCCCACCTTCAGTTTACTTTGGCCTTTTTAAAAGTCAGTTGTGCATATTTGTATGATCTATTTCTAGGTTCTGTAATTTGGTCCATTGATAGGCATTTATCCCTCTGCGAATGCCACACAGCTGTATCTAAGCCTTACTATTGGATGGAATGATACCTCTCACTTGATTCTCTGTTCAAGATGGTTTTAATTACTCTAGGACTGATGTTCTTGTATATCAATTTTATAATAAACTTGTCCACATCTAGAAAAATCTTGCTTAGATTAGATAAGAATTTCATTAAACCTGTAGATCAGTGTTAAGTCTTCCAATCCCTGAACACAGTAAGACTCACTGCATGTTTAGGTCTTCTTTGCCTCCATCAGAATTTTGTAATTTTCAGCATCCAGATCCTAAACATGTTTTGTTAAATGTATACCTAAGTATTTCATTTACTTTGGGAGTGATTATAATTAGTACAGCTTTAAAATTCCATTTTCCATAAATATATTCTTAATATATAGAAATGTACTTTGTGAACAGATGTTTATTTGGGCAATTAGAATTGCAATTCAGGAATCACATATTCAGGTAGAAACCTGAATTCTTTTGTGTCTCATCTTTTATCCTGCAACGCAGCTGAACTCATTAGTTGATTCTTGTGGAAATAGATTTTTGGGGGGATTTTCACCTAGATAGTCATGTCATCTGCAAACAGGCAGCTCTTTTTTCCTTTTCAATCTATATACCTATTATTTACTGCTTTATTGCAATGATGACAATTTCCAATAGTTTTTTTAAATTTAATTTAATTTTATTATGTTATGTTAGTCACCATACGGTACATCATTAGTTTCTTTTTTTTTTAAGATTTTATTTATTTATTTATTTATTTGAGAGAGAGAATGAGAGAGAGAGAAAGGTCAGAGGGAGAAGCAGACTCCCCGCTGAGCAGGGAGCCCGATGTGGGACTCAATCCCGGGACTCCAGGATCATGACCTGAGCTGAAGGCAGTCGCTTAACCAACTGAGCCACCCAGGTGCCCACATCATTTGTTTCTGATGTAGTATTCCATGATTCATTGTTTTCGTGTAACACCCAGTACTCCTATAGTGTTAATGTGAAACCATTTAGTCTTTGATCATTAAATATGAGGGATTTATTTTGTAGATGTTCTTTATCAAATTGAGGTAGTTCCCTTCTACTCCTCGCTTGCAGAGAATTTTTATCATGAATTAGTGTTTTGTAAAATGCTTTTTCTGCAACAATCAATATGCTCATATTATTTTTATAATTTCCCTGTTGCTACAGTTACATTGATTTTTTTATTCTTATTTTTTAAATTTAATTTAATTTTATTATGTTGTGTTAGTCACCATACAGTACATCATTAGTTTTTGATGTAGTTTTCCATGATTCATTGTTTTCATATAACACCCAGTGCTCCATGCAATACATGCCCTCCTTAACAGCCATCACTGGGGTAACCCATCCCCCAACCCCTTCCCCTAATTGCACTACTGGATATTTACCCCAAAGACACAGATGTAGTGAAAAGAAGGGCCATATGCACCCCAATGTTCATAGCAGCAATGTCCACAATAGCCAAACTGTGGAAAGAGCCAAAATGCCCTTCAACAGACAAATGGATAAAGAAGATGTGGTCCATATATACAATGGAATATTACTCAGCCATCAGAAAGGATGAATACCCAACTTTTACATCAACATGGATGGGACTGGAGGAGATTATGCTTAGTGAAATAAGTCAAGCAAAGAAAGTCAATTATCGTATGGTTTCACTTATTTGTGGAATATAAGGAGTAGCATGGAGGTCATTAGGAGAAGGAAGGGAAAAATGAAGGTGGGGAATCAGAGGGGGAGACAAACCATGAGAGACTATGGACTCTGAGATACATTGACTTTTTAAAAAGATTGTATTTATTATTTATTTAGAGAGTATGATGGAGGGGGAAGAGGGAGAGGGAGAGAGAATCTCAAGCAGACTCCACGCTGAGCAGGGAGCCCCACATGGGGCTTGATCACATGACCCTGAGATCATGACCTGAGCTGAAATCAACAGTCGTTCACTTAACCAACTGAGCCACCCAAGCGCCCCACATTGATTGATTTTTGAATGTTAAAACCAGTCTTGCATACCTGAAATAAATTATTCTTTTATACATTGCTGGATTCTATTTGCTAATATTTTACTGAGATATTTGCATGTAGGTTTTTGAGAGCATTTGGTCTGTAGTTTTCATTTTTCATAGTGTCTTCATCTACTTTTACTATTAGAGTAATGCTGACATCATAAAATGCTTAACCACCTGAGCCACCCAGGCACCCCTTGACATCATAAAATGAGTTAGGAAGCACTCCTTCCTCTTTGGTATTGGCATTCAATGTTTGTAAGTACAGGTATCCCTCACTCTTTGAAAGTTTGGGTTACACCACTTCACTTTTATGAAAGACCTACATTAGTACCTGTTTTTGGTAACTGAAAGAAATCTGAAGAGGATCTTTGCTTTTAAAAATAAGGTGAAAAGCAAAAATAGTGTTCAGTTCAGTGTTTGTTTTTTGGTGAGCTGTTACAGAGGCAGCTCACACCTAGAGCAGCAAGAGTGGCCCTGCCAAGCTCCTTCCTCGGGGACTACACTCAGCGTCTCAGCATCAAGCCGCCATAGCTTTGAACTATTTGAGCATCTCTGTGCTTTGTCTGGATTTAGTTTGTGCATCCATTAGCAAGCTGTGTCCCAAGGTATCAGAAAGCCTAAGAAAGATTATTGTGGGGTCCGAAAACACTCAAATTTTCCATATAGATTA